ATGAGAGCTAGACAATGAGTAAGGAAGACTGAAGAAGAGTTCATGATTTTGAGTGTGGTGTTGGAGAAGAATGCTAAGAGTACCATGGACTGCTAAAAGACTAATAAATCTCTCCTGGAAAAAGTACAGTTGGAATGCTCCTTAGAAGTGAGAATGGCCAGACTTTGTCTCATCTACTTTGGTTACGCTGTCAGAAGGAAACATTTCCTGGAGAAGGATATCATGCTTGGTAAAATTGAGGGTCAACAAAAAAGGAGAGAGCCTTCAACGAGAAGGATTGACACAGTGGCTGCAACAATGGGCTTAGGTATAGCAAGGATCATGGGGCTGGCACAGGACCAGGCAGTGTTTCGTACTGCTGTGCATATGGTTGCTATGAGTCAGAGATGACTTGATAGCACCTAACAACAGTAACAACAACATTGTTTGGCTGGAAGCTGCGAGAGTGAGTTCACTTCCAGGCTCAAAAGGTGACAAGAGGCCACAGTCTTGGGGATTTCACCAGTCTCTACCAGACCAGTAAGCTTGGTCTTTTTTTTCTGATCTTGAGTTTTGTTCCACATTTTTTCCTACTCTATCCAAGATCTCCTATTTTGATCCCTTTTTTGTGGTTGACAGTGGTAGCTGGGCACCATCTAGTTCTTATGGTCTCAGGGTCATGTAGGCTGAGGTTTGCATGATCAACTAGTCTCTTGGGCTAATTTTTTCCATGCATCTATGATTTTCTTCCTTCGTCTTTGCTCCAGATGGGGAGAGACCAATTGTTGCATCTTAGATGGCCACTTGCAAACTTGCAAGTCCCCAGTCACTACTCACCAAAGTAATATATAGAACAATGTTTTTGTGTACTATGTTGTACCAATTGAGCTTGATGTCCTCCATGACCATGGTCCCTAGGCAGTGAGCCCAGTTACTCCCTCAGGGTCTTTGGCTGTAGCTAAGAAGTTATCATAACTTTGCCCTATTAGCTTTATTAAATATATGAACATTCTTTTAGCACATACGAATAGGTATGTAGAAATATCAGTTGTTTTATAAAGCTCATAACAGTTGTTTTAAAGTCCTTCTTTGTTAACTCCAATCAGTGGGTCATCAGTAAGTCTCCTATTGAATGAGCTTTCTCCTAATTATGAATGACATTTTCTCGCTTCTTAACAAGTCTCATACTTTTTATTGTATTCTAAGGATTTCAAAAAGAATAGTGTATATTCAAGTAAAATATTTTTTGTTTTCTTTTATTTTTTTTATTTCTCAGGAAATGCAACCCTTCAGCTTTATCTGACAGTTTGAATGAGAAGCTGATCATCAATACAGGTATCTCCCCCTTGTCAAAATTCATTTTGTGCCACTTCACTTTTACGAAAAACCTGCATTAGTACCTGTTTTCAATAACCAAAAGACATCTGAAGAGTATTTCTGCTTTTATGAAGAAAAGGCAAAAAGCCAAACCAGAATTCAGCATTAGTTTGGCAGACAGCTGTTAAAGAGGTAGTGTGCACCCAAGCTCCTTCCTGGAAACTGCACTCGGCATCTCAGCATCGAGCCACCATAGCTTTGAACTGTATCTGTGAACACTATATGTTAGTGTTATTTTAAGTTTTATGTGTTATTTGGTATGATTTGTTAGGTTTGAGTCTGGGAGCTTTCCTATATAAATTAATGGTAATTGCTTCCTTGTTTTATGCCATTGTGGCTTATGAAAGGTTTTATAGGAATATTTTCGGATTGTGGGGGACAGCTGTATTCCCCTAGAATTAAATTGAGTTTGGCATAGGACCACTGCTTTACCTAGATTGAGTTCACCTTTGATTAATCTAACCCCAACCTTCCGCACTGCCACTGCTTTTTAGATCTTATCAATATCTGAGGTTGGTAAGGGTTGGGCTGTAGTTTCTGTACTTTTCCTTTACTTTTAGATTAAAACCCTAGAACCCAACCATTACGAAATATGTGAGATCATGCACTTTTTCTCTGCTTTCCATCCCTTCAAAGTGCCACTTTCTCAGAAAAATTCAGGAATGAGGTAAAAGATGGGAATTGTTGTCCAAGGCAACTTTTCACATTGAGAATTCTTTCAGATTCCAGTTTGTTCTGCCAGCCCACACTGTCGCCTGAGTTTCATCTGATGTTTCCTCACCTTGCAAAGTCTCTGTCTATGTCAAGCCCTCTCCTTTATTTATCTGCTCCCAGACCAGCTTCCTGCTCCAGGTCCGGAAGCTACTTGGCTTTCTGCTCATCTAATGGGCTCGTTTTCTGTCTGGAATTCAGTCCATCAAAGGTTGCTTGCACAAGCGCTTCTTTAATAGCCCTACAGAAAAGTATGGTTTTAGTTCATCCAAGATTTTCTTGTTATTTCTATGGAACTGAAGGTCTTTCGTATCCTACTACACCTTTATCAAGAGAAGAATTCTCAAAAGCCAGTGGCTTACTAATAAATATCCACTAACTGATTTGCTGTCTATAATTGAAAGACAAAGATGAGACACTGGTCCAGGCCTAACAGGAGATAAGACTTTGAGAAAGATGCCAATCTAATATTTCTAAAAATATACACATAAGACCAGGACGAACTTTAAATGACAAGGAAATAAGAGCAAAGAATTTGAAATCAGGTTTTCAGCTCTTGGCGATTTTATATTCTCTTTCTTCTCTAATTGTTGTTGTTGTTGTTATTTGCCATCGAGTCGGCCCGGACTCATAGCGACCCCTCCTTGGGTTTCCAAGGCAGTATCACTACGGAAGTAGGAATGCCCAACCTTCCTTCCGAGGAGTGGCTGGTGGGTTTGAACCGCCAGCCTTCTGGTTAGCAGTCAAGTGCCTTAGGCACTATGCTACCAGAGCTCCTTTCTTCTCTAAAGGACTAATAAATGACAGATATGTGGGTTTTTTCACAGTAATTATATATTTCAGAAAGACATGTTTGCTAAAAAATGTGAAGTAAATAGGGCTTAGTTTTATGAAAGGAAATCATAACAAACTTGGGAAATTTCATTTTTATTTTCAATCTTTCTTTGAAACAGCTGCTGGTTTCACTATATCTATGCAACGGCACTTAACTATTCAATACTGGGCAAGCATATGGGAGGGAATGATAGTAGAACTGTCCAGTGAATGATCCCAAAGCCTCAGGTTGCCGAGAAATGAGCTTGCTGGCCAGAGGACTCATCCTCTAGGTAGGGAAACCTGGACACAATCTTACTTTCCCCAGATCACCAAGGACCATGTCACTACCTTTCCTATTACTCCCCAAAACAGCTGGGTCCAAGTCAGACTGCTTTGTTTCTGAGTCCAAGTGCCTATACCCATCACCACCCCATGTCTACTCTTCCACATACAAGTTCGCACTTATTCTTGTAGCAGGGTTGGAGCTCAAAGTCAACATATTCAGCACGCCTCTCTGCACCTACTTTCTCTCATATCCATGAATTCCAGTCCCAAGTGACACTTATTGGTGTTGATGTGAGTATACTAATTCACTGTGCGGTCTTGGAAAAAATCACTCCCTCCTTCTGAACCTCAGCTTCCTCATTTGCAAAACAAACTAGGTAGTCTCAAAATCCCCTTCAGCTCTGAACTTTATCAAGAGCTTATTATGTCCCTAATAAGATGTGATCATAATTATATTAATTGCTACCATTTATTAAGCCCCTGTCCTGGGGGAGAGTAATAAACAGTTAATGTGCTCAGCTGCTAAGAAAAAGTTGGGTTTGAGTCTACCCAAAGGCACTTGGAAGAAAGGTCTGGCCATCTATTTCTAAAAAATAAACCTTTGGAGCACAGTTCTGCACTTAAACACGTGGGGATCACCGTGAGTCAAAATCAACCTAGTGGAAGGAAACTGATTTATTGATTTTCTAATCTGTCAAGACATTCTTCATCTTTCCAAGTCTCCACCATCTTTTTTCTAATTCATTCTGTCTCAGCTTGGTTGTCTGTTCCATCAGGAAGCTTCTCCAAACCCCTAGTTTGGGTTAAATGTCCTGCATCTCTTATGTCACTATTAGGTGCTATCAAGTCGATCCTGACTCATAGCAACCCTGTATGTCAGAGTAAAACTGACATATGGAGTTTCCTTGGCTGTAATCTTTAAGGGAGCCAATCAGCAGGTCTTTTCTCCCACAGAGCAAATAGCTTATAAGTTTGAACTTCCATCCTTTCTGTTAGCAGCCAAATGCTTAACCACTGTATGACCAGGGCTCCTTGCTGCTGTCCAAAACCAAAAATCAATTGCCATAGAGTTGAATTTGAACACATAATGACCCTATAGGACAGAGTAGAACCATCCCATAGGGTTTCTAAGGCTGTAATCTTTACAGAAGCAAACTGCCACATCTTTTTCTCACAGAGCAGCTGGTGGGTTCAAACATTCAACCTTTCAGTTAGTAGCCAAGGGTTTAACCACTGTGCCATCAGGGCTTCTTGCTGCTTCTCATAGTTCCCTGTATATCCTCTATTGAAACACTTATCATACTATATTGGCATTGCCTATGTAATCATTAGGAGCTCTGGTAGCATAGTGCCTAAGGCACTTGACTGCTAACCGGAAGGCTGGCGGTTCGAACCCACCAGCCACTCCTCAGAAGAAAGGTGGGGCAATCTACTTCCATACTGCCTTGGAAACCCAAGTCCAGTCCGACTTGACAGTACATAACAACAACAACAACATGTAATCATTGGTTTCCCCAACAAGAGTATAATTTCCATGAAAGGAGGGAGATCAACCATTTTGTTAATCTTTATATTGCCAGTGCCTAGAATAGTGCCTGTCACACAGCAGGTACTCAATAAATATTTGTTGAATAAATAAATAAACTACAGCAGGCCCTTTGTGTTGTATAATGGGAAAAAATTAGTATCACAATGCAAAGACCAATGCATCCTAAATCTGTTAACTCACACTTCCTTTCTTTGTGGTTATAAAAAGAAAACTAAAGTGAAGCAGACAGATACTCTCTTCCAGAAGAGTTCCTTCTTGTCCAGAGATTAGACGCTGGAAGAAAATGGTTCAGTACCACCTATGGATCTTTCTCCTTTGCCTGCAAACCTGTGAGTTCTAACCCTTGCTGACCTCCTAGCTTTCTACAACATTTTAGAAATTGCCGTTAAGGAAGACATTGAAGTGTCCTTGTGATCTGTGTTTTTAACAGAAACACCCTGGTCTTGGTATATGCTGCACTCAAAAGGAATCCAGTTGGCTGGAGTTAGACTAATATTCAACCTAAATGTTTTTCTGCTTTAGAGTTGATATTTCTGAATTTTGTCTATGTCCAGTCTCCAAAGATCTAAGATAAAACCCTTTACTCAGGACAGTCAGCACTTAGTAGATCCACCCACAGAACCCAGCAAAAGCATAGATTATCCAAAACCTTAATAACGTAAAAGCAACTTTTTTTAGCCATTAGAATGTGTAATTTAGTTTCTGACAAAGGTTGCCCCTTCCTAATTATATTTCATTGTTCTATCATGTTAGAGTGATGCATGACTTATGAGTATCACTATAAAAACTTCATTTATATAAACTCCTTTTATTTTTAAAGCATGTTCAGACTTGGTACTCTGCTTTTATCCTCCCAAAACTCTCTAAAATAAATGGGAAAGAGATTATCATGCCTATTTACAAATAAATTAATTCTCAAAAAAGAGGTAGAGAACTTGAGCCAAAACCTTACTTTTCTCACTTACAGCTTTATGGTAAATTACCAAGGACAAAATAAATATTGGTTGTTGTTATTACAAAGAAATCTATTGACATAGTTAACATAGGTCTGAGAACGTTTTGTCATTTCACATGTTTATCTCATTAATTCCAAACAATTGTCCTGTTTATATTAAAATTGTCTGTTTGGCACTTCTAAATCTTTATTTCTAGTATCTTTTACAAGCTCTGGAAATGCTATAGTAAATCCCTGGAGAGAGTTAGAACCCAGGGAACTTAATAAGTAAAGATTCCCTTAAGATGGAGTAATACACTCTGTTCTCTCTGGTTTCCTTGACCATTTACAGCTGTAGCTCCCTTAACTTGAGCTTCATGGAGATTGCAACCTCTAGGCAGATCAAGTTTTTGGAGCCTGTCATAGTTGCCCTGGTGTGGCAGATAGAAATGCAAGTAGATGGGGAAAAGACTTGGCTAGAACTTAAATGGAAATCTAGGGATGTTCCCAATCATCCAGAGGAAGGCTGGACAGTAATTTGATATTACTTAATTTGCAAACCATTCCACAATTTTCATGTCTACAGTCCTCTTGTTTGTTTGTTTGTTTTCTGGTGTTCAATAACTTTTTTTTTTCAATTTTTATTGTGATTTGGGTGAAAGTTTACAGAGCAAATTCATTTTCCATACAGCAGCTCACATACACTTTGTCTCATGACATTGACTACAATTTCCCACAATGAAAAAGTTCCCCTCCCACTTCCTCCCCATAGTTACCTCTTCACTGTGTCCTTCCCTCTCATGCATTCCCACCCCAGAGCTGTCTCCCTGTGCATACACAGCCCTTCTATTCTCCCATGATTGATCTCTCCAAGGAGTGTATCTACCTAATGTAAATG